ATAGAGAGAGAGAGAGAGAAAGATTAGGCAATCTAATAATCTTATTCAAAAAATATGCTTAATCATTCTTGAGAGATTCCAGTACGTGTAAGTTCAATTGAATTTGCTACTCGCTTTATGGATTTCGTTTTATGTTTTGTTCAGTATTAGAATACTAGAATATTAGGTTTATCCAAACACTTTTTTAAAATGCAGTTATCATTAAAAGAAATTCGAAGTCACTTTCAGTTTTCATAATTTTGATTCTTTACTGTCGCAAGGTTTCTCACCATCGTAATTATCAAAGTTAATAATTTATGACTTTTTGTAGTAAATTTTGGAGAAATACGTGGTGCTTACAAACTCTTTTTTTTTTATCCCACTACAAAAATACGAAGCTAAAAGAACTTAAACGTCTTAAGCGAAATAAATGGATAAGAGCTAAGAAAGTAGAGATAACTAGACAGATTGCATATCTAGTAATAGATTCTTAAATGCGAAATATTTGCATAATCAAACTGTTCTAAACTTCATTTTATTTTCTCTTAATAACTACGAACATTTAACAGCAGTTTTGAACTTTATTTTAATTTTAACATTTCTGAAAAATGAACGCAGGAAGCAAATGCGTTAAGTGCTAGTACTAGTTTAGCCTAAATGATTCCTTCAGTTTTAAAGGTCCCTCTATTTACAAGTATACTATGTACAAAGACAGATGGTATATGGAATAATTTGGTTTATATACATTTCACAAGCTTGTATTGGAAAAAAATCCTTAAAACTCTTGTATCTCCAATCACTGAAGTTTATAACATTTTCTGTTCCATGAATTATTTCCTTTCAAAGTAATTACAAAGTAGTATTAAAGAGTATATAAATTCAATCGATAAGTACTAGTTTAGCCTAAATGATTCCTTCAGTTTTAAAGGTCCCTCTATTTACAAGTATACTATGTACAAAGACAGATGGTATATGGAGAGATGTAAACACTCACCCAGTGTCTCGTTTATATTACAAATGTTCAATATGTTCACCCTTGATCTCCTGACTCACAACCCAACCGTAATCCAGTTCCGGCCATTCCCTCTATTCCATGCTTCTATAACTTCCGGCACAAGAGCAGTGATGAGCAACTTGTAAGCGTGTATGTACCTCCATTCCAAAATCTCAATTGTAATTGTAATTAGCAAAGTTTATGCACCAGGAATGCTAACAACACCAAAGATACGCATCACTGCTCCTGTGTCGGATTGTGGTAGAAACATGTAATTGAGCGAATGTCCGGAACTGGATAACGGTTGGATTGTGAGTCAGGTGATCAAGGATGCACATATTGAACATTTGTAATATATTCCAAACACTGGGTAAGTGTGTGCATCTCTCCATATACCATCTGTCTTTGTACGTCGTATGCTTGCGAATATATAAACCTTTGTAAGTAACAGATTCATTTAGACTAATCCTTTATATAAATTGAATGACATGTATAAATATCAAAGGTTCTCAGGATTTAAACGTTATTTGTCAATCAAGTCTTATTTGTAGGACTTAATTTTTAAAAAATGCTTCAGTATGCATACAAAACTCGGCTAAATACATAAGTATTTAATAAGTAAATATTATCATATATTGTTCATTCATTATTAAGATCTTTATAACTTTAAACTGTAAGCCTCACTAATTTTGTTAGGTACCGATTCGGCGTGAATTAATACATAAGAAATAATATATTTCGCTTTACTAGATAACAATGTCAGATGCATACAAAATTGAGCTTATTATACAAAAATACTTTTATAAAATTCAAATAATAATCCTTATCGACTTTGTAAAAATGCCTTAAAAAACACCTCACTTGTCTAGAAAGTAATGTTACCTCTATCCCTATTTTATCCCTATCAGTAGTATCAAAATAGCAGTTTCCGTTAATAATTGTGGCATTCGATTACTCAGAAACTTACTGATCTGACCTTCAGAATGTTTTGAGACCCCTTTCTATTCTTTCTTTCTTTTTTTCTTTTTTTTTGATTTTTCTTTCAGGAAAAATGAAAAATATTCTTTCTTGCATTAAAAAATCAAAATAAATCGTGTAATCAATATTTTGTTCACCTTTCCTGTTTTTAGAGTTTAAAAAACTTATTTTCTTACACATTTTCTTTTTTTTATCTTTAAAAGATTCTTTTTATGGTATTATTTAAATTTTTATTTTGATTTTTGGAGCAATGAATATGGGTGGTTCCAAATAACTTTTTCGGAAATTGAAAATAATTTCAGAATTCTTTTTATTGCATTTTTGAGACAAAAAATGCTAATCTGCGAAGAAATTTTTTTATTATTATTATTTGAAGAGTATTTTTCATTAATCTTACTCTCAGAACACTTTTAAAACTTCTAAAATTCTAAGTTTTTTAAATTAAAATCAAACATACAACATGCAAAATCACGTTGACTACCTGAATTATCTTCGCTGCGACGGGTGCATTTTATAATATCACAAATTTATGCAAGATTTGAAGGAAATAGAAAATTTATTAATTTAATAGTAAAATAAAATGCAGAGAGCTGAAAGTTAAGGGTTAGTAAAAAAGCAGACTATAATTAAAAATAGAGCTTGTTTTCATGGGTTACAGCACATGAAATAATCCAATTACTGCATGAGACGTAACCTGGTCTTGTACCACCACCTTTCAATTATCCGATTAAGCCCCTCTATTTTTTGTGATGAAACACAATCGAATATCTTTATATGGAGTTATTTAAAGTCAAAGATGGGTGTCAACAAGACTACATCCACCCGTACAATGAAAGAAAATATTCAAAAGCTGTATCTAATAAATTTAGCAACATTTATGAAAAACGGTCGTGAAAAATTACAATAAGGGAGTGTGCATACGTCAAGAAAGCCGTAGAGGCCAGTCGTTTAATCAAGTGTGCTTCCTCAAAAAAAACATGACCTTATTCTACGTAATTTATGCTTGCTCAATAAAAAATATTCATTTTTTTTAACTCCGTTATTTTCATTATTTTTTTTCGAAAGATTTTCATAGATTTGGTGAACTTTAGTTCAAAATATTTTACTCCAATTACTCATTGCAACAATCCAAATAGGTAAATATTTCATTAACTTTATTCTTCATATTTATTCTTATCAATACATACGGCACCTTTTTGTCTTTTTTACTAATGTCTTTTGGTACGAACCATCCTGATTGTTTTACAAATTTATTCAACCAAATTGTTTTACAACTGTTTATTTATCCTTACCGACGCATACGGCATCTCTATGTCCTTTCGTAGAAGCCTCTTTTGGTACGAAGCCATCTTTACACTCACAAGTGTAATCGCTGCCAGCCTCCACACATTTTGTATTTTCTCCTTTACAGTCAGTGTCTTTGCATACATGTTTTGCTACTAAAAAGTATACAAAATGTAAGAACTTTAAACAGAAATAAGATACATATTATGTTTACAAACAAAACGGAAATTTTTGAGGATCTATAAAATAGTTTTTAAAAAATATTTCGTTTATTTTTAGTTTTCTCTAAACCTTTCTTACTTTCTTGCATGTGGTATTTAATTATTAATTGAGTAATTTTATTATTGAAAAAACGAAAAAACACTCTTGAGTTTCGTCCTTTCTTAGTATCATCTTTTGGTACGAAGCCATCTTTACACTCACAAGTGAAATCGCTGCCAGCCTGCACACATTTTGTATTTTCTCCTTTACAGTCAGTGTCTTTGCATACATGTTTTGCTACCAAAAAGTACACAAAATGTAAGAACTTTAAACAGAAATATGATATATTGCATATTATGTTTTACTTACAAATAAAAATGTATTTTTTGAGAATCATTACATTTTTCTCAAAAAATATTTTGTGCATTTTTAATTCTTTCTATAACTACCTTATTTTCTTGCATGTGTTATTTAATTATTTATTGAGTAATTTTATTATTGATAAAAACATTGACACTTTTAAGCAAAGAAAAAAATCGTTTTACTACTACATATATATTTATGTTTAGTAATTCTCACCAATGCATATAACATCTTTTCGTCCTTTCTTAGTATCATATATTGGTACGAAGCCATCTTTACACTCACAAGTGTAATCGCTGCCAGCCTCTACACATTTTGTATTTTCTCCTTTACAGTCAGTGTCTTTGCATACATGTTTTGCTACTAAAAAGTATACAAAATGTAATAGCTTCAAGCAAAATTAAGATACATATTACGTTTACAAACAAAATTGAAATTTTTGATAATCATCAAAATTGTTAATAAAAAATTTTGTTTATTTTTATTTTTTTTCTATAACTACCTTAATTTTTTGCATGTGATAATTAATTATTTATTGAGAAATTTTATTATTGATAAAAACATTGAAACTTTTAAGTAAAGAAAAACATTGTTTTACAACTACATATATATTCTTAGCAATGTTCAGTGAAACGTCTAACGTCAAAAAATAGTGTATTACCCTAAAACGATGTGACTGCCAAAATTAGAGCTGCCAAGTGCTCTAGCAGCACGAACTTCTAAAGTGAAAAAGGATAGTCAATCTTTAAAGGTCATCTGTTAAATATCATTGGACTGACTCCAAAATAAACCTTTTTTCGATTAAGGGTAGCAAAATAAGGTGTAAACAATCCGTCTCAAATGGTGTTAATGAAATTACTAGTTTGACAAACCCCATCACTGTGCTAGTGCCAATCACTGTATCACTGTGCTGGTAAATACAATCCTGCAAATTATCTCTCTCAAGGAATGAGTGTTGACAGCTTAAAAAGCAGCTCCAGATATTGGACTGATGCAAAATTTTTGATGGAATCAGAATGTCCTTAAAGTTTGGAGCAAGTTGTTCCCGAGATAGCATCCCTCGCAGAAGATGAAAATAAAATAATCCTGCGAGAGAGGAAAGAGATTTTCCGAGAGTGAGAACAGTACAACGACTACCCTAGTGACTCATGATTCGAATAACAACGTCAATAAGCTATTAGAACATTTTGACAATTTTAGTAAAATTAATCGTATTATATCTTACATTTCCAGGTTTATTTTAATTGTATAAATAAAAATACAAGAGTTGGTCCCCTAACTCTCGCGGAGGTCCCTTAACTATAAAGGTCTCCCAAACTCTCTTAAAGGAATCAAAGATTTATTTTATCAAGCACGCTCAAGAACCTCTGTATGATAAAAGAAGGCCTCTAAGGTAATATTTGTAATTTATCTCCATTCACAAATGAGAAGGGAATAGTGCCAGTAAGTGGCAGTTTAGATAATGCTATTGTATCATATGCTCAAATATATTCTCCTATTTTACCGAAAGGTTCTAGTTGATGTAAAATTTTTGATAGCTTGCACAGAGAATTACTTCATATTTAACCTTAAAGATTGTTAAATGCAGTGCGCTTGAAATTTCAGCTTTTAAGAGGCCGCAGCCTCACAGGTACAGTTCATAAATGAGTGACTTGTTTCAAAAACTGGATCATCCTTTCTTCTCAAGTTATGGGTAGCTTGTCCTCAGAAAGAGTTAATGTTTCCCTAACATTTATTATTGTTTGTCTTGATTTGCGCGGACTACGCTTAGTATAAAAATCGAAGAAAGTGTACACTTTAAAAATTGAATTAATAAACTGAATTGTACCATTACCACTTCCGATACCTTGATTGCTGTACTTAAACATTTTACGACCAGCTTGGAAAAATGTTCTAAATTTTATATTAAATAGTAAACAAATTTTATCGGTTTGAATTCAAAATTGAAACATATTTGTAAAATAATTAATTTTTCTGATGAAGGTTTAGTTAATTACTTTACCTTGGAAAAGATGACTTGGAATTTTATCCCTCCCAGAAGATCTTACTTCGGAGGGCTTTAAGAAACGCGTGTAAAATTAGCTAAACATCATTTTAATTTCCGTTTTATTATGAAGAATCAAAAACTATAATAATACAGTACAAAAGAATATTAAATTCCCGTCCACTCACTCCTGATTCAGAAAAAAAACCATGTTTCGATCTTTGGTAATTTTTCGATAGGGACACCTATAGCACACCCGCTTAGGCCATTTGCAAAAAACAAGCAAAGGTCGTTATATAGAAAAAAAATGGAACGCTGGTTATTAAAATCTGTACAGTGATTCTCAACCTGTGGGGCGTGACCCCCTAGGGGGCGCGAGCACATTAGAGGGGTGGGACGAGAATAAATTCAAGCGGAAATATTATTTAAAAAAATTTACTAACTGGATGAAAGGAAAGCTCCCATACACATAGAAAACGAAATACATTTCAACATATTAAATAACTTATTAAAGGGAAACAACTTATTAAACCAAAACTTCAGGTGGGGAGCCAAGGGTGACTTGGCTTTGTGGATTTTTCCTAATTTTCTGATTAAGTTTGCCTGACTGAATTTTTTTCTGTAACATCTTACACCTATCTCTAATATATACCATGCATACTTTTAATTGTAAAATAAAATTTCATTTATTTTATAGTTCAATTTCAAAATTGATGCTTCTGCGCCTAAGGTTTCCTCTAGGTTCCAAAGGTGAACCACATATTGAAATGTGACACATATTGAGTACGTGAAATAGGTGAACACTATTTCACTTACTCAAATTATCTTTAGAAAAAACACTTGGAATGGCAAACGTCTCTTAAAAAGGCACTTTAAGTGTCTCGCTGGTAGGAACAAGTTTTCCGATTTTAAAAAAGATATTTGTTTTTAGTGTGTATAATTTGTTTATTGATTTTCCATTGATAGCTCTTGTGTGAAGTCACTAGCAAATTAATCAGGAATTACTGAGTTCATTTTTTCAGAAGGATAAACTAACAAGTAAGAGTTAAATAACCATACTAGAGTTAACCAACCTTATCCATAACTACCATAAAAATACCCAAATTTACAAGAAAATACCAGAATCGAACACAAAAACACTCATAACTACCACAAGAATAAAAAATACCTGAAAAATTAGTTTGAAATGCAAACAAAAGAAAACACTTGAAACAAAATATCGCAAACTCTACTAAAGTGCAGAGAACGTCAAAATATCATAAAAATTTAAAAAATACCAAAGTTCCATATGTGCTTAAAATGAAATAAATCAAATGGCATTCAATTCAATCATTCCTTTTTGAGAAATAATATGCTACGTAATGATTTATAACTAACTCTTTTATAGATTTCACGTTTGTTTCCGACGATGGCCCAAGTGTCCCCAAGGTGGCACTGGTGTTGGACCACCTTGGGAACATGCATATGGTCTCTGTCACCACTTGCACGACTTAAAACTATTAATCTGATAGATTAATTCGAATTAAAGTAATGTGGTTAAAGAAAAAAATACTTTCAGAAAACATATCATAACTCAAAGTTCTAAGAATTTAAACACATATAAATAACAATATCTTCTCACCCGTCAATTAAAACGACAACTTCAAAAAATTAAATCACTTCATACAATGGAGGCCATTCAAGGAAATATTCAGCCTCGTGCACCTCAGATACAAGATTTACAATGCAGCAGGGACATCTTATGATTCAAAATAAATTTAATTTTAATTTGGGGGGGGGCTACGTTAGGAGCACTGGCCACCTTTGGCTTACCCTCCTTACTTAATCAAAACATACTAAATTTTAAAAAAAAAATTATAGTTTTTAGTGACTTCCTTGTGCCTGCCTTGCAGAGCAAAGTTTTTTGAGGTGAGGCTTAATATTAGAAATAGCCACTCTCAGTTTTGTTTCTATATTAAGCCGTGATCTATATTTTGTCTTCAAAGAAGCCACAGCAGAAATTCTAGTTTCACAAAGGTAGGATATTGAAAATGGTAATAGAATACGAAATGCCCTTATTTTCAGTGAAGAAAAATGATCCTCCTGCACGAAATTCAAATGGTGATTTATTATTAAATTGTATTTTAGTTTCGCCATTTGTCTAGAAGTCTATGAATTTTTATTCCTTATCAATTGGGAGTCCTTCGGGAGTCTTATGAAATGGATTCCTAACCCACTCGTAACTTGCTATCAGTTTGTCGTCAGCAGGAAAATACTTTTTAAAATTCTTTGCCAGCAAGGCTAAATGATTTTCAATGGCTACAAAAACAACTTTTAAATGTTCTTTTTCATCCTTATAAGTTTTAGTACAATTATCCATATTTGCAAACGTTGTTACGTTTTTTTTTGTTTTTGTTTTTTGCTTTAAATTTCTGCCCCACAATTCCAATTTTCTACAAAAAGCATTAACTTTATCACTCGTATCCAACATATGTGTATTTGCTCCTTGGAGTTGATGACTCAAGTTATGTAATTTCTCGAATATGACGACCAAGTAGCTCAATTTCATCACAAATAAACAATAGTGAAAATTCTCGGCTTCCGGTCTGTTATCTTCTTCTAAGAAAATGGCGATTTCTTCTTTTAATTCATAACACGTTTCAAAAATTTCTCACGTGATAAACAACTTGCCTCGCATTTAAATAGTAACTCTGAATGTACTGAACCCATGTCATTACAAAGAGCGGAAAAGATTCTCGATCTCAGGGTTCTCATTTTTACATAATTTGCAACGGTTGCAACCGTAGTTAACACAATATTTAAACCAGGACGCATTTCTTTCGAAGTCCAAGCTTCTCTGTGGATCATGCAATGTGTCCAGACGCATTGAGATGATTTTTGTTTTACCAGTGCTTGTATATTTTCGAACCTTCCGGATATTGAACGAGCACCATCGGTACATATTCCGATGCAATTTTTGCATTCTATGTTTGCTCATTCCTAACATCATTTAAAATAGCAAATAATGCCAGCGCTGTTGTTTTGAGTTCTATTGATTTGCTGAAAAGTAGTTCTACTACTGACATATTATCACAAAATCAAACATAGGCAATTAAATGAGCATCTTTATTAATATCTGTTGCTTCATCAAACTGTATTGAAAACATTTTGTCACGCAACATCGAGAAAAGCTGACACTACATTGTCAGCTGTATCACCAATTCGACGAGCAACAGTATCATTTGAAAGAGGTATGGACTGTAATTGTTTTGAAAAATTAATTCCAAACATAGTTTCTACAATCTCATTTGCTGCTGGTTTTTACTTTACTTTTGTTTTGGCGGTTAGTTAAAAATAATTTAAAGACAGAATTCAAAATACTCAATACACATTATTGTTGAGTCATTGTTGAGCCAGTTTCAATCATTATTACAATATGTGTATTACTCAATACACATATTGTAATAATGATTGAAAACTGGACCGCGAATACTGAAAGGTTGAGAAACGCTGTGTTACAAGATAGATATAATGGATGATTGAAAAAAATGATTTAATGGAACACATGGTTTAAATTAAAGAAGACTTCGCTGTATACAATTTATTATATATAATATTGTCAATATAATTATTTATGATAAACTCAAAAAGATGCAATGGCTGCAGATCCGTCGTAAAAATATTAAATTACATATTACATTAAAATAATTGGAAAATTTTAATAGTATCACCATAGCATTTAATTTTTAAGGCATTGAAATTTAAATGTATTTTCGTCTGAGGTACACTTTGTGTTAGCTCCACGATAATCGCCGTATGCTTACAGATAGATATACATGAATGCCTAACAAAAAGCATACTGCAGCGAGCGAAAACACTAATTTATCAATTACGATGTACCACCATTGTATTAATTGTACCATCATTGTATTCATTGTATTTCATATAGGAATCATTTCAATACTAAAAACGCTACTTACTTATTGTACCTTGCCATAGACTTTGAAGTGTTATAGCGGTTTTAAATCAAACGTTTATCCGTGGTCTAGGGAATACTTATTCCTTTTATGCAACTCTGAATTGTTTAAAATATGAAAATTGAGTGATAATTAACAATCATACTCTGCTTTTAAGGATCTGTACGCAAAATTGTACCAGCAATATAAGCTTAAGTAACTCCAGAGGCCTAAGTAACTCCCGCATGACGGAAACTTCACAACTCGCAGTACATGGAATATTATGGTAGATGTACAAAACTTTTACAATCTAAGACAAAACATTTAGTTTCTTTTTAACAACAGGTACCATTTCTTTTTCTCAAAACAGATATTTTGAAACAGATAGATGTATCTAACAGATGCTGAAATACAAAGGTGTTCTTTATTCTCTACATTTTCAAATAAGGCATGGATGTTTTTTAATCAACTTCTATTATTTTAAAGAGTCTTTAGTTGCTCATTTCTGATTACTTATTGTTGTTTCATGCACCAGATCTCAGAAATTCAATTATGCATTAAACCTCAGATAAGTTGTTCAATTTAATTTTCATGAAACTCATAATATTTTTCGCAACTTTTGGCTTACTTACTTGTGCATTTTATGTATTTTGTTCCTTTTTTGCTATTATCTTTCAGTTCAAAACCCTCATTGCAGTCACAATAATAGTCACTGCCATTCGGAACGCATTTTTGATTCTCACCGAAGCAATCAGTGCTTTCACATTTATATTTATCTGCAACAAAGAGAACGCATATTACATACCATAAATAAATAATCGATAATTTTGGGAAAAACAAACTTTTTTTAATTTAAAGTAGTACCATGCCTATCGATTTCTTAGAACTTGAAATTATCTAGAAATTATAAAGTCGTAAAAAATACAAATAGCATCGCAATGAGCTCATAAGTGATAAATAGGTTTAAAATATTAGAGGATTTTTATTTATTCCTTTTATGTTTTAAGACATTATTTTTTTTTAATCCAGAAACTTTTTTTATCCAGAAACAGAATAGTGTAAAATATGATTAGTAATTTTTAGTTTACTTTATGAATAAATGTATGAAAAATTTCCTATACAACTAAACGTTTACCCTAAAGATCATTTTTATAGAAACAATTTTTAATAATTATTATTTCTTATAATAGAAAATGGTAAAAAAAAGATGTATGGTTAAACTAAAATAACACACTAGAATATAACTTTATGATATGCATATACTGAGAATATAACTCAAAGCTTTAATACTGAAACAAGGATACATTGAAACATTACTTTCTGGCAATTTATCAAATAAGGCAGTGGGCTAAACAATTTCAGGTTTTGATCGTTACAAACTCTTTTATTCTTAGGTAGTTTTAAAACTCTGTATTATTTTCTTGACAGGACCATCCAGTGACAAATTTTTATAACAAATTTTTAAAGCTAGCATGATTAAATTTCTGCTTTTCTAAGCAGAACACGGTTTGCCATGTATTTCAATTTCCTTCCGTATACTTTGCAATTGATTTTCAAAATTTATATGACAGTATCGAGAAGCACGTTATTATTTTGACCTAGATTAAAAAGATCAAAACTACATAGCGAGACAAAGCTCTTATGAGTTTTTCTTCTTAAATAAGAAGAGTTTTTAAAGAAAGAAGAGAAATTTGAAAAAGAGAAATTCTAACGTCATTCATTTAAAAAGAAAAAATAATAATAATTTTAGCCTTGCAAAAAAATTTAACCCTTTATTTTTTGGGAAATTTTTGACACCAGTGTATTAACTTTTCTCTATGTTAGCTTACATAGTTAAAATTTAGTAAATACCATGACTTGAAAAATTTCAAATATTTAAATGCGTTGAGATGATAATATAAACTTTCATAGTAATTATTTTCTTATCCACAGTGATCGGGACAAAATATTCTTGATAAAAAATAAAATACTGACTAGGTATACAAAAAAGAATAAGCTTATTTTATTTAATAAATTTTTACTTATCTATAGATATTTCTTTTATGTGGCACCATGAACTCAGGTATTTCTCTATCTATTGGCAACACTATAGTTATTATTCATTTTGTTAGGTTAATTTAAAAAAATTTAAATATCGGCCAAAAAAATAGTTATGCGTTAATAAATTTTCATTTTTATTCCCTTTGAATTTTTATAGAAATAATAACTTAGTTATAAAGTGGTTATCTAAAATTTATTTTTGACACTTTCTAAAATAGCTGTAGAAATTTTAAACATAAACGGTACTACGGCGCTGCATAGTGTTATATCAATACTGGTGGTGAAGTTCGCCTTTTTCGAGCAATAGTATATGCAATGCTCAAGTTTTTTGTTCAAGAGGGTTATCAACAAGTAATGGAGCATTAGAATGAAATCCCTATCTCATCTTACGACAGAAATGGAAATAATTTTAATACTTCTTTGCCTACTTTTAATACTTCGTTGCCTACTTTTAATACTTCGTTACCTACTTTTAATACTTCGTTGCCTACTTTTAATACTACTATTTTAATACTTCGTTGCCTTTAATACTTCGTTGTGTTTGTGTAATTTAATGGGCTTTATATTATTACTAAAATTCATTACATAAAGAACTTTGGCAATATCATGGACTACTGTTAAAATTGGTTAAAAATGAAATCAAAATACTTTCAGACGGCCGAAACCATGGGTAACCCAGATAACGGTAAAATTTTTTTAGTAATATAATGTTGGAAACTAATCCATATAAAAACTATAAAATATAGCATCTATAGATCTTACATTTTATTATCTTTCTTATTCGCTGTCGCTCTAAATTATTACGTATAGTAAATGATATAATTCGTCCTGAAATAAATAAAAAATTGGATCTTATATACAAATTACACTTTTTATTAAAAAAAGTTATCTAAGTCTTTAATAAATTTTTCAACATTACGAACGTTGCACGTTCTGTAGCATAATTTGCTGTGAAAATGCTGAGAGCGGAGATTTCTTTACCTGTTAACTATACTGAAGTTAATTCAGAATTTGGATAATTTTTTAAAACATATTTAAATTTTACCTTTGCATGCCAGTTCATTTGTATCTTTCTTCTTTTCATCTACAGGTTCAAAATCTATAAGGCATTCACATTTAAAGGTTTTTTCAGTTGGGACACACTGGGTATTCTTTCCTGGACAATCATCAATTTTGCAATAATATGTAATTGCTGCAATAGAATTTAGTACATAACTGAAACTGGTCAATGGAATAAAGATAAAAATGATTGTCTAAGAATTTAACACATTGTTACAGCAACAATAATTATTCTTTCGCATCACCACTGAATAAATTTTTTTCCTTTTTCAGTAATTACGGCGTTACCTGTAGTAGTAATTCTATTATTAAAAAAATATTCAGCGTCTACAGTATTACTTTTATATCATTTATCACTGCTTGTACGTGAAAATTTTATAGATGTATCATACATTTGCATTATGTATTTCATGCAGATATAGTCAATCTGCTTCTACGTAATTCTTAACTCATAATTTGGATAATTTTTTAAAACATGCTTAAATTTTACCTTTGCACTCCAGTTCATTTGTATCTTTCTTATTTTCATCTACAGGTTCAAAGTCTGTAAGGCATTCATATTTAATTGTTTCTTCAATTGGGACACACTGGGTATTCGCTCCTGGACAATCACTTTTTTTACACGTATATGTAATTGTTATAATAGAATTTAATACATAACTGAAACTAGTCAACGGAATAAAGATATAAAAGATTGTCTAATAATTTGACACATTGTTACAACAACAATAATTATTCGTTTGTATCACCACTGAATTTATTTTTTTCCTTTTTCAGTAATTACAGCGTTAACTGTAGTAGTATTTCTATAATTAAAAGAAAATATTCAGTGTCTACACTAATACTCTTATATCATTTATCATTATCATTTGCACGTAAAAATTTTATAGATGTATCATACATTTGCATAATGTATTTCATGCAATTATAGTCAATCTGCTTTTACGTAAATCATAATTTAGAGTGCAAATAAATTACAATGCAATTCTAAGTAGAAATAAATTACAGGAATGTCTAGTGTTTAGAGTTTTACTTAACAATGAAGTATATTATATGAATGTCTAACAATATAAAGCGCTCTGCTACGAAGATAACTGTAACTTATCAATTATGCTGTGTTACCATAGTATTTAATTTTTTATTCTTTCTTAATTAACACTAAACATACAAACTTTTTATTACACAATGGAATATAACATACAATAACAGGTCATACATACATAACAGATAATATAACATACATAATTATGACCGGTCATGAAATGCTTTGTGTAAAAGTGTTAGTTGTATTCATAGTATTAAAACTCTAATAATAAATTATAAGGCATTCTCATTCATATATTTCTGTCTGAGACACACTGTGTATTTGCTCCTTGGCAATCATCGTCTTCACACCTTTACACACGTGCTTAAAGAAAATTTAATAACATAAATTGGTATATTTATAATATATATGCAATTTATCAAATA